CTTAGAGGGGAACACAGAGACAGAGGAACGCTCGGCGTCTGCTCTGAATCCACAAGCAGAGGGGAGGGAGCCCTGTGGGTCCTGGAAGCCCAGACCTGAGTAGGGCGGCCATGCTATAGCAGCCTTTATTAGAAAGAATCTAGTTTTAATAACACCAATAGACCCCTCAAGCTGAGCCAGCTGTTCAGGTCCCCAAGTGGGAAGTGTCTGTGGGAATGCATGCAATGGGACTGAAGTAATGGTGCCTCGGTGGCCCCTTCTAGCCCAAAGCCCCGCCCTGGGCATCTGGACGTGAGGCCACAGCTGCTCGGTCTGTCCCAGCAGCACGATGCTTTGGCTGCCTCACTCCTGTGTTCTGGTCCACTTGCTGCTGACAGGGCTGGAGGCTCTAGGGAAGCTTTCCGCCACCCAGGAGATGGGCTGCTTCTCATTTTCCACAGGTGGAGCTTCCCAAAAGGTGGGAGGGTAGAGGCTGATGGTAGAAAGGGGGGGTCCCCTCTCTGTGCATACCAAGGGACCACAGTGGGGGCGTGGCCAGGTCAGGCTGCAAGGATCTCAGATTGGGCACCCAGGGTGGACCCCTAGCATTACCACTGTTTCCAGATGTGGCTGAGGTCATGTCCTTGACCTCCTGGATGGCCTCTAGTGGGGCTCGGTGTGAGGCTTCTTTTGGGATGTGACAGCCAGCTGAATGGACAACAAGGGTGGTTCTCACCACGGCTCCTATTGCAGCCTCAAACGACTCTATGGGGCTTGTTCTTGTGTATGGCATAGATGTCTGACCTATGCATGGGAGGGAACAGGCGAGGCCCAGGGAGGCAACCAGGAGATGCAAGGCCAGCCACCACAGCAAAGCCCTCTGTTCTCACTTGGGGCTGCCTGGAGACCAAGGGGGAGCTGACTGAAGACCAAGAGGGGGGGCCGACACCCGACCTGCTCACGCTCTCGCTCGCCAGAGCAGCAAGCGGAGACTCTCCTTGCACATCTGAATTCCAAGACATCTGAAATCCAGGTATCCCAAACCCACCAGCCTGGTATCTCCAGGATATTCGGAGCACAACAGAATCAACATTGACACTTGCCATTCACATTTTGACATTTTCCCGGGACAAGTGGCTATTTGCAAAGTCCCTTAACCCATTAAGTCCCATTCTGACAGCAGAAGAGGGCTGGCCTGAGGCTCCTTGGGAGAGCTTGGGGGCCTGCAATCTCCCCGGCCTCATTTCAACAGATGGCACAACAAATTCCTAATTAAGCACGAGAAAGTTTCCGGCTCAGCACATTTATTCATGATTTTCCGGTCCCTTTGGTGCTCATTCTTCCCCTTTGTCTTCCTGGAACCCAAGCCAGCTTATTGCCACCCTGAGCTCCCTACTTGGCTCTTGGAAAGGCACAGCCCTAATCTGGGGAGAGGGAAGAGGACGGCATGTGGCAGGCGGGGGTATGGAAGGGAGGGCCAGGGGGACGGGCCACACAGCTGCTTTTCAGAGGCAGAAAGAAGAGAGTTTGCTGCTGACAACTTGGCAGAAGCTTAAGAAGACAAGCAGGGCTTCCGAGACCACTGCCTATTTGGCGATCCAGAAAACCTGGGGGAGGGGCTTGGCTCAGGGGAGGGATTGCCGGGGTGGGGTCCAGCCCCTGCTCCAAGTTGGCCTGAAATGTCCAGTAGGCAGGCTGAGGATGCTCGCATGAACAGGGCTGCTCCCTTGGTGTTATTTGGTGGCTCTGGGGAGGAGTCCCTGACCTCCCTTCTCTTTCTCTGACGTGCCACAGCAGACACCCACATCTAGTCTAGGAAGAGAAAGGCCCAGGCTGTGCCACTGCCCCAGCTGGGACAGAGCCCTGGAACGCTACGGTTCAGCTTACTAAGCCAGGCAGTCTTCCTTTTTCTGAGTGGCTACGCTACTGGGTGCAGTGCTTTGCAAGCTCAGTGGTCCAAGAGTCTCATGGAGAAAAGTGACTTCTTGTACTGTCACCCACAGCAGGTCCCTGCAGGCTCCTGACACTTGATTATATCTCAGAGAAAGGGGAGAGAAGAGGAAAACAGCTGCAAAGACAACATGTCAAGACAGCGACAGCACCACCAACAGACGTGCGCCCATGACCTTCACAAGCCAGTCTCTGCCCAGGCACCTGCTTCACCCAGTGCTTCCCGTGGGGCCATGGTCACCTGGCACTGACTGCTGCAGGGGGCTGCCTCCTAGGGCCCAGGAACCCCAGGCAGGGTGGGAGCTCCTCTAATGGCAGGGGCTTGGAGACAGTCCACCTGCAGTGGCTGGGGCTGCCCACAGGAGCAGGGGAGGCAAAACAGTACCACATCATGAGTGGATGGGCAGCCCACTGCCAGGCAACAGCCGCACTGAGTTTTCCAAAGCTCAGGACAGCTGATTCCACTCTGAGCCAGATTCTGGGGCAGGAGAGGATGGAAATGGGCACGGGCCATTGGAAGGCATCCTCTAGGGCCCTGCGGCTGCTGGAACTTGGATTCAAGTCTGAGATTCCAGTCCGTAGGGACTTTTATTTGCCATCAGCTACCTCCTTTCCCTTTTACAGGCTTCCACTTGAAGATGAATGAATGTACCACTTGTCAGATGCAGAGGGGAATGGGTTGCACTCACCAGTACTACAAAAGTCACTATCTGTCATTACCCAAGAGCCAGTCCCCTCTTTGCCTGACAAGAGAATCCATTACTCCAGCAAAAGCACGTGCATCCCTCCACCCGTGCCCTTTACACCTGTCCTCCTGGGCCAGGGAATGAGAACAGGAAAGACCTCAGCTTTCGAGTCAGGGCTTACCAAGCCCCTTCTTATCACTTCTGTAGTAAACAGGGCAGGGGTCAGGTTTTCAGGGCTGCAACCTGGCTGCAGGGACTGGGGCATCAGAGTTAGGCTGGGAAGATGAGGATGAAGCACATTCTTCTCCAGATCCTGCTCACCCAGAAAACCCCTGGAGATCAGCAGGGCTCAAAAACACAGAAGCACAGAAAAAGAAGGAAGATAGTCTATGTTTCTGTCCCCTGCTGACCCCAGTGCCGGCCACAACCCCTGGGGGTATCTATCCCAACAGCTGCCAGTAGGGCTTGAGTGACCCTCGTGTTTGCTCTAAGTGACAAGTTTTCATTTCTTTCTGGTGGTCATGTTAATTTACCCCCAGGCTTTGGAACTGGGATGAAGTGGGACAGCACCCTGCTGGTGACCAGAACCCATGGAGGGGGCAGGCCAGGAATTCTGCCCACCCGCGTTCCCAGACAACGCACTCTTGTGGGCCTCATCAGCACCTCAGAACTGAACTTGGTCCTGTTCTTGTGTCCTTAAGAGGATGGACAGAGAGCAGGAAGAGGGCACTGCAGGCTTGGTGAAAACGTGGCCCTCATGGAGCAGTGGGGGCCCCAAGGCACCGAGCTCCCAGTCGGGGGCTGCATGGAAAGGTGGGCCAGCTGCCTGACCAGAAGGTCCCTTCTAACCAAGGATGCTAGGGCGCCCATGTGTTCAGGCGCTCTTCGCACTGGGGACTAGAGAAGCCTGAGGTCATTTGGGTGAAACTCCTCAGCACATCCCCACACAGTCCAGGTCCTGCAGGAAACCAGGGCGGTGGGTACCTGGTCCTGAGGAGGGGAAGTGGGTGGGAAAGGTGTCTGGGAGCAACAGAAGGTTCCACACTGGGGCAGAGCAGCTCCTGGTGCCTGAACATGTGCCCTGGGTCCAGGCCCTCTCTCTAAACAGCAAAGGTTTTCTCTGCTTTTATTATTTTTTTAAAATGGTAGGAATGGCTTTATACTTTTATCTCCATCCCTGCCCCCCTTTTTCATTTTTATTATTTTTTTAAATTTATGTATTTAGTACAAGGTCTACAGGGTCTCAGTACACAGATCAGACTTGTAGTGATCCTTCATGTTTTTCAGCCTCTCGAGGGCTGGGACTACACGCCTGCGGCACCATGTCCAGTCTCAGGCAGTCTCAGCACACCCTGGGGGGTGGGGCCGGCACGGCAGGCTGGATCCTGCCCCTTTTTGAGACAGGTTCTTGCTAAGTTGCTCAAGTGGTCTCAAACTTTCAATCCTGTTGTAGCCTCCTGAGTGCTGGGATTACAGCTGTGCTACCTCACCTGTGGTTTTTGTTGTTGTTGTTTTTTTCCTTTTTTCCTTTTTCTTTTTGAGATGGGGGTCTCTGCATATTGCTCTGGCTGGTCTTGAACTCTCAAGCTCAAGTGATCCTCCTGCCTCAGCCTCTTGAGTGCTGTGACTACACAAGACCCATTGTACCCACAATACCCAGGCAGCCTTCTTTGCTTTTAGATACAAAAAAGTAAGTGTACAACAGAGGCCCAGGGCACACGCTGGCCAATGAAGGGGCAGGAGCCCCACACCTCTTGTCCTTGGGCCAGTTACGTAAGTTCCCTCAGGTGGCTGGCTGGCTGGCTGGTATGGTGGAGGTGACTGCACTCCTGTGACTAACCTGCTTTAGGGGGAAGAGACCCTCCACTGCAGCAGGTGTGCTCGCACGCAGCATGTCCTGGCCAGTGAAACCTGCTGTGGATGGGCTGCCTTCCCACACTTGTGGTCCAGGACGTGGGAGGCAGTGAGTGGCTGCCGCCACGGCCTGCTGGGCTTCACAGCTGTGCCGCATGGCGACCCACAAGAAGGCAGAGTGCTGCTGCTCCTGTGCCCTACAGGGCGCACGGCCTACTCAGGCCAACCTGTGGGCTGGTGGGAACCCGGTGTGGGACATGGGGAGTCAGCAGATGGGATTCTGGCCTGGCTCCATCTGTGCAACATGGCCTTGAAGAGGCCACTTACCTTCCTTTTGGTACTCAGTTTCCCTACCAGGAAAGGGCAGGCAAAGCACCTTGCCTTGGGCCCTGCCTTCTAGGAAGGCTGGAGGGCCAGGCAGGCCTTGTCAGCAACAGCCAGCCAGCTGTGCTGGGAGCCTGCTCAGCCTCTCAGAAGAGGTGGAGGAAGGACACAGGAGGAAGGATGAGAACAGCGACGTTTCTCACTCACCGATCCATCTCATCAAAGAGGTGAGGATCTGCAGGTACTTGGTCTTCTGGACGTCAAAGAAGGTGAACGGTCCCAGAAGGAGTGTGAAGACAGCCTGGGCGAGGAAAAGAGTGTGAGAGAACACAGGGGTGGTTGTGTAGGGCTCAGCACTGTGGGGCAGCACAAGCACACAGCCCTTGCCCACAGGGAAGGAGGCGCTGCGCTAAGCCCAGAGCATGTCTGGCTGGCCGAGGCTCCCTGGGTCCGGCTGCCTCATCAAGGCTGAGTACCAAGTGCCAGGCCCTGGCTCTCTACCTCGGTGCATGCTTACTGTTCTGATGCTACTGCACTTCCTGGGCAAGGCCACCACCCCCACTACCCTGGTCTCTGGCAGGCACTGGATCCAGCACAGCGCTGGCCGTGAGTGCAGATTAGGTACAAAATGGCAACAAGATGAGGATCCAAGAGGATCACCGGACATGCCCTCACAACTACTGGGAGGAAGGGATGTGGCAGGGAGGGCAGATGGGGGCTCTGCTAAGACAGCTTGGGAGAGGATGCCCCTCCTGCAGGGCTTGGAGAGGAGCGTTAATCAGGAATCTACTCATCAGTCACAGCCTCAGCTTAAGTGGCAGGGAAGCCGAGAGACCAGGAGCCAGACTTCCAGGGTGACTTGCTCAGAGGCTTGTCCTGGCTTAAGGAGAAAAGGTGCTACACCTAGAAAGCCTGGGCAGAGGAGCCAGGCAGGGAGACGGGCGCTGCATCCTGGTCCTTCTTAGTTGGCCACTCTTGAAAGAAGAGGGGCAAGTGTTTACTTAAAAAAACAAAAACAAAACAAAAAACCTGGCAGCAAAACTGTCTTAGAAAACTGGTCTGTAGGATCTCTCTGCAGAAGTCAGGGTGAACATGGTACAGTCATGGGGCGAGGAGTGGGGGGCAGGCTTTCCATGCCAAATTGGTTGCTCAAGAAGCAGAGGAATTAAAAGCTGCTTGCTGGAGTTAAGAGGATGGTACCATTTCCAATCTGCTACTCGGAAGCAGGCAAGGCAGCAGGCCTTATTAACATTTACACTGTGCCATTTTATCACGTTAATGCTAATGACACTCACCAGAGACGAGGCAGCGGGCACAGAAGCCTGAAGGTGGGGAGATGGCCCGCTGCGGGGAGGAGGGCTCTGGCCTGTGCTTTGGGTGAATTCATCACAGCTGCCAGCCTGGGGCCAGTCCCGTGATAGGCAGGCAGGCGGGAGCTCCGCAGAAGGGGGTGAGCCTGCCCTGCCTCTGCCACAAGGAGAGCAGGATGTGGGGGAGGCTGTGACCTCTTATCCAAGTCCATTATCACTGTGAGATGAATGACAGAAGGACTCAAGTGCTGTGCGTAAGGATAAGGCTCTAATTAGCTGGGGTGGGCGAACATCCTGGCAGCCTCCAGGGCCAGGAGATTTCTGGAAAGAGCTTTCTGCTGGGGTCCTCCAAACCAGCCCTCCTTCCATTCAGTAGAGGGGGAAGGAGAAACGTTTCCCTGAGGCTGGGGCGACAGGAAGAGGCAGAGCAAGGGTGTGCTCCTGGTTCCAGCAAGAGCAGCCCCTCCACAGACCACGCAGAGCTGGGACACAGGCACTAACACACATGCAACAGCCACCTCTGGGGGAGCCAGTCTGTATGCAGCACCATCAGTAAGTCATTTAGGAAAATTACCACTTCAGGGGAACTTTCCACTGATGAATTTCTCTTTTGAAGGATGGAGAAGGGGATGTCAGGTGGAAGGATAAATACAAAGTCACTTGCCACCAATATTTCCAGACAACTGTGGCCCCTGAGAGCTGGCCTCCTGCTGTGCCCAGGGGTTTGGGTGGCTCACCTCCGCCCTGTGAGCCACTGGAAATCTCTAGCTTTGGGGGAAGAACGCTTGCTGGATGGTTTATGCAGAAGTCAGATCTTATCTGAGAAACCTAGTAATGACTGGTCTCCAGAGCATTCCATGACGTAAAAAAGGGCAGGAGAAGCAGAGCTGTCCCCAAGGTCAGCAGAAAATCCTACAGCTGCAGACATCAGGCACAGCCCTCCATGGGTGCTTCTTAGAGGGCTGCTCCTTCTCTACCCTCCTCTCCTCCTCCTCCTCCTCCTCCTCCTCCTCTTCCTCAGTGCTTGTGTGTCAAGATCCCAGGACGAGGGGACCCCACCATGTAGAAGCTGGAGGGAAGGAGTCCTGGCTGCTGAGGGCAGTCCTGAGTACGAGGCCAGGCATACGCTCCTCTAGGAGGCACTGACCAAGAGCTAGGGAAGTGGCATTAGGGTCTGGACGAAGGCCCACCCCCACTGGGTATTCTCGCCCCGTCCTGGGGCAGCAGGGGACAGAGGTTCTTTGGAAGACCTGACCAACAGTGGTGACACCCATGGCTGACAGCTGCTGGGATGTTTCCTTTCCACACTGAGGAGCAGAGACTGGCCACACCACACTGGGTCCGCCGAGTTGCAGCCATAGGCAGACTGCTGAACAGCAGCCTCGCACCAGCTGCGAACTCACGCATGCGGGGAGCCCAGATGAAGATGGAGACCCGGCGCTGGGGCTAATTAAAGAACAGGTGTCCTCTGCAAATTAGCTGGAGCCCGAACTCAGCAGCTGCAGGAGTGGGCATCAGAGTGATGGAGGACAAAGGATAAGAGTGGCAGTTGCTGCCAAAGTCTTTGATTCGATTTCTCTTTTTTTTAAATTTTTTAAAATGTATTTGGTCCAGGGTCTCACTACATAGCTGACTCATAGTGATCCTCCTGTTTTTTGCCTCCCCAGTGCTGGGATTACAGGCATGAACCACCACGCCTGGCCTCGGTGGCTGGCTCAGTGTGCCCGGGGGCAGGGCCAGCATGGCATGTGGTGCCAGAGACTGAACCCCAGTCCCTGTGCTTGCCTAAGCAGGTGCTTAGTCCGCTGAGCTATCTCACTGGCCCCGAAGTCTTTGAGAAAAGGGAGGCTTGGGCTGAGGGATGAGCCGTCTCCTGATGGCCTGGTAGGAAGGTTCACCTCTGAATGCTTATCAGTCAGATGCGACACTTTGTGTTTTCTTTTTCTTTCTTAAAAAAGATGAAATAAAAAGCCAAGAGACAGCCTATCCTCTTGGGTCTTCCAGTCTAGCTCATGTGACATTATAAATTAGTTGGCTTTGGAACAGTTTTCTAACCCCCAAATGCCACTGATCAGTTCAAATTCAGTCTCTCTTCAAGGACTCTTGTCACCCAGCTCATTACAGGAGGCAGGGACACCAGTCGCTGCAGCCAAATGTGTTTTTAAAAAAAGAATGACTCTTTGATTTCTAATGAAATCTTCAAACGAGACTCTGGAAGTCAAGTCTGGACAGACTGGGGAAATGGAAATGGGGCCACTCGAACCTCTCTTTCTGGGCCAGTGAGTTTCGCTGCACACCAAAGGCCCCACGGCTGCCTTGCCAGAGGCTTGGTGGGCACCGGGCAGCTCATGTTCCCAAGGCGTGGCAGGCAGCGCCCGGCCGTGGGGTCTGGCTCACAGGGCTGCCTGCCCTCCTTGCCTCCCCCCGCCATGAAGATGAAAGGCACTGTCTTCTCCGGTTGCTCAGGCTGTGGACGTCCAGCCACCTCCAGTTCCTTCCCTACCCTCTGTTAGGTTTCTGTGGCTGCTATAACAAATTACCACACACCGAGTAGCTTCAAATCCCAGAAGTTAGTCAAGTGTTGTGGGTGACTTGGGAGGCTGAGGCAGGAGGATCACCGCAAGCTCGAGGCCAGCCTGGGCCGCATAGTGAGTTCAAGGCCAGCTTGCACTATGCAGTGAGAGTTTATTTCAAAAGCAAGCAAACAAACCCAGAAATTTACTCTCTCCCAGGCGAGAAGTCCTAAAGCTAGCAGGGCAAGGGTCCAACAGCAGCAGCCCTTCCTCCACCCCAGGCATATCCTACGCGTGAACACAGGATGGAGCTGGCAGGAGCTTCAGTGCTCCAGTTTCTGCCAGAACTAGGACCAGTGGCACTGTGGAGGCCAGAAGGCTCCTGATGCGCTGCTCAAGCCTCTGCCCCTGGAGACAGGCTGACACCCATCTTCAGGACTAGGGGCTGAAAGGGACTGTAGTGGGCTGAGCACGTTGGCTTCCTGGATGGCACTGGCTCTGCCGAGACCCACAAGTGGCATCTGGGTACGCGAGGCTGAGCCACTGACCCCAGCTTCCCACATTTCTCTTGGACTGCTTTGGACTCAGCTGCTCAATTCCAGAATGGGAGAAAGAAATGCTGTGCTACTTCGGTGAGCAGGTCTTCAAATCAGGTCTGCTGATCTGATCCGTGCCACTCCCAGAAGGGGCGGGCACTCCGTCCACTCGACTCTACTCTACCCTGCTGAATACGAATGTGCCCAGCACTGGTGACACGTGGTGCCCTTTGTTTAGTTGTCCCTAAATGATAAACCACGACCCAGTATGGACACGAGAACAGAAAATAAAGCAGCTTTGGGCTGGGGAAGGAGCAGCATAAGCGCCTGCCTAGCAAGCACAAAGTCCTGGGTTCGATCCACAGTACAACAGGAAATAAAAGCGGCTTGACACCTAATTCTCCGTCCTCCAATTTTTCTGTATATTTAGCTGGCCAGAAAAACAAAATGAAAATTTAAATGTGGTGCCAATACCAAATTAAACACCTAGTTTCAGAAGCTACAATGTCTCTGGGTGCCACCTCCTGCCTGGTTTCCATCTCAGCCACTCCGACCCTGCCATCCCCCTGGCTGTTGGCATTCTTTGCTGCGCCACCCTACCAAAGTTGTCCTGTGATGATGCCACCACACAAGGCCACAGACCCTCTGCATCCACAAAACCCTCACACAGATTCATTTGTTTCTCATGCCCATCTATGTGGGGACCAGGGCAGGTGACAATACCATTCATTTACTGATGAGGAGGCGGAAGTACTAGAGACCCAGAGCCAGAGCAAAAGAGCAGCAGGAGGACAGACGCTCCTGACCCGAACCCTCTTCAGTGAAAGCCCTGCACAACGCATCTGCCCCGGTAGGAACACTGCTCCCCTCGATACTTCCTGTCCCCATGTCAAGCAAATCCCCACTCTCATGCCTTCACCCTCCTGACTCCTCCTGGCAGAG